GGGAGCTGACAGGGAAGGAGGGAGCCAATTGCCCTCTTTTGAATTTATATGAATATACTCAAGATTTTGTAGCTTTTCCTTTGAATGGCCGTATAGATTATATTTAAAAGGTTAGGAGGTAAAAATTTGTATGTTCCACCTTTGCAGGTGACGGATTTCGGCTCCGATGTGATCTCCGGCACGGAACAGGGGAGCGGAGAGTACTTTGTGAGGATCGGCGTCGGCAGCCCGCCGAGGAGCCAATACGTGGTGATTGATTCCGGGAGCGACATTGTTTGGGTGCAATGCCAGCCCTGCAGCGAATGCTACCAACAATCTGACCCGGTGTTCGACCCGGCTAGTTCCGCCTCCTACGCCGGGATCTCCTGCGATTCGTCGGTATGCGGCCGTCTCGACAACGCCGGCTGCAACGACGGCCGGTGCCGGTACGAGGTGTCGTACGGTGACGGCTCATACACTCGCGGCAATCTCGCTCTCGAAACCCTAACTTTCGGCCGAGTTTTGATCCGAAACATCGCGATTGGATGCGGTCATATGAACCGTGGAATGTTCGTCGGAGCCGCCGGGTTGCTCGGCCTCGGTGGCGGCGCCATGTCGTTCGTTGGCCAACTCGGCGGCCAGACCGGCGGCGCGTTCAGCTACTGCTTGGTGAGTCGAGGAACCGAGTCCACTGGAACGCTGGAGTTCGGCCGCAGTGCTATGCCAGTCGGCGGCGCGTGGGTTCCCTTAATCAGAAATCCACGCGCTCCAAGTTTCTACTACGTAGGCCTTTCAGGTCTCGGAGTCGGAGGGATCCGAGTTCCAATACCCGAACAGATCTTCGAACTCACCGATCTAGGGTACGGCGGCGTGGTGATGGACACCGGCACCGCCGTGACGAGACTACCAGTGCCGGCATACGAAGCATTTCGAGACACTTTCATAGGGCAAACGGCGAACCTACCACGATCGCGCGAGGTATCAATCTTCGACACATGCTACGATCTAAACGGGTTCGTATCAGTTAGGGTTCCGACGGTATCATTCTACTTCTCCGGCGGGCCGATACTGACGCTGCCGGCGAGAAACTTTCTGATTCCGGTGGACGGAGAGGGGACATTTTGCTTCGCATTTGCAGCATCGCCGTCGGGATTGTCGATAATAGGGAACATCCAACAAGAAGGGATTCAAATCTCCGTTGATGGAGCTAATGGGTTTGTGGGATTTGGGCCAAGTATTTGTTAATTAATCAAAATTCAAAGGGCAAATCTGTCATTTTGAATAGTTTTTTTTTTAATTTAATTTAATTTTTTTTGTTCAACAATTAGGAACGGGCAAGCCAATAGTAGACATTTACACTGCTAACTACTATCTTATCCCTAAACAATGCTCGGTCTCATTTTTTAGGTTAAAGTATAAGCTTGATGCTAAAAAGTATCATGTTTAGCAAGTCCCCTGCTCCGAAAATGTTTGTAATACGTCAACTTTTAATATAGTAACTAATAAGACTATCTACTTCCAATTATATGTACATATGTCCAGTGGACCTGCCCCGAACATCATAGATAATCACAGTAGAAAACATGATAGACAGAAGGAGAGAAATTTTTTTCCGTTAGGTAAACAAGGTCGGGGTAGGAACATCTCTAATTTTATGTCTAAATGGATTTGCTCTCCTTACATAGTCAATTAAAAAAACACAATTTACGTGAAAAACTAAAAATAAAAAAACCGAACCCACCAAAAAGAAACTCCACTATAAAAATTATTACCATCACACAAAATATTTCTTCCGAACTCATTAAAAAAAAAAATCTTTTTTTTTTAATATTTTGACAAAAACTATAACAGTTCAAGCTCAATTCTAGCAGATATTGTCTCTCTCTTTAACTCTTTCTCTCAAGGAATGTTTTGTTCCCCTCTCCAACCGATGTGAGCTTGCACAAAAACCCTAATCGAGATCAAAAAAAAGTAACTTTAGATTTAAACGAAGAGTCGAAAAGGGGTTAACCATGGTTAAAGATAGGGTCAAGCATAAAGTGGGTCAAAAAGAATGGGCAAAAAGGGAGATGTGAATAAAGAAAAAATTAGGGTATTTGAGCAGTAAGGTTCCAAGGGATCCCTTTAAGCTTTTAACTTATTATAAATAATAAATAAATAAATAAATAAATAAATAATTGAAGGTCTTGAAATGATGAAGGGAGCCACCACTAAGGTAGACATGTGAAGGCATCACTAGGAGCTTTGGTCTGCCTTTGAGCTTCATTCAAGTAATGAGCTTTTGTAAAGCCATTTGCTTTTTCCTCTTTTTATGACATTGTGAAATCAACATTCATTACTTTTGTCGCCCCTTTTTTCGTTCGAGACGGGTTAAACGATTTAGAATTACATACATTTATACGTTCGTGATTAAAAAAACGTCGAGTGTCGAGTGTCGAAGTCTTCGAGAGATGTTTTTGAAAAATCTACTATGTACCCGAGATAAGAATGATTTCGTTACTAGTTTTCTGAGTGTTGATGTATGTTAGACATTTGAATTCTCGGTCAAATTCAAAAGGCTAAAAATAAGCTTTTAAAAACATGTTTTTTTTTTTTTTTCTCGCTTGAATTCGTAGGTCAGATAATGAGACCTTAGTAATCGGATTTAGCCTGTCAGATTTAAGGGTGTTCAAATGATCCGAGAATTCGACCAATTTGGACTACCTAAACCAATCCACAGGTTGGATTTATTTATTTATTTATTTATTTTTAAATTTTGGGTTGAGTTTAGGGTTTAGGGTTTAACTAATGAACCTGACCCTAATTTTTTAGTTAACATTTTTTTTAGGGTTTAGAGTTTAGAGTCTAACTAACGAGCCCGACCATTTAGGGTTTAGGGTTGAGTTTAGGGTTTAGGGTTTAGGGTTGTAGATCGAATATCTCAAGCCAAGAACACTTTGTTTGAGATTCGAATCACTCCAGAAGCAAGATCGATCATGCCTAGCTTCAATGATTCTTGTTGATCAAATATCTCAAGACAAGAACACTTGATTGAGATTCGAATCACTCCACAAGCAAGATTGATCATGTCGAGCTTGAATGATTCTACATGCAACCTAAACTACATAGAATTGCAAAGAAACTTAGCCATTGGCTAAAAAAGAGCACAAATGTTTCTTTTACTATATTTTCCAAGTCTCCTTACAAATATAACATACATGGCTTTATATAGCCTCAAAATGAAACTATTAAAGACATTCCAAAAGTGGTAACATTTACACTTTATGGCCATAATTAGCCATTATGTAAATGTAACCGAAATTAAATAAAAAGTCTTAAAATACAATAACTCTAAATTACTCTAAATTATAACCCACCCAAAATTTACAACAATCAAACTTCATTCTTCTTCAATGTAGCATGAATTGAAACATCTTTTTGATAATTTTGACAACCTTTTCTTCACATCTTCATTGAAGTATATTGTATGATTGATGTCTCTTGGTTCATATCAGGCTCATTAGTTAACATTTTTTTTTTTTTTTGTCGTATCAACCTAACCAAACCATAAATATCGTTACAACTCAACCGTACCCTTTAAGATTATTATGAAAATTAAGTATATTTGAGTTTATAACGTGTGGTAACTTTGAACCCTAATCAAACACCTGAAAATGCTCAAATTGGAGTTGGGGATACCTCTATTTTCATATTGAATTGAGTTGAACCCCAAGCCCATCGCTGGTAGATATTGTCCATTTTAGCCCGTTTTATCGTTAGCCTCACGTTTTAACATGCGTTTACTAGGGAGAGGTTTCCACACTCTTATAAGGAATGCTTCGTTTTCCTCTGCAACCGATGTGAGATCTAACAATCCACCCTCCTTGGAGGCCCTGTGTCCTCACTAGCACATTACCCAGTGTTTGGTTTTTGATACCATTTGTAACACGACAATCTCACCGCTAGTAGATACTGTTCGTTTTGGCCCATTACATTTGACCGTCAGCCTTACGTTTTAAAACGCGTTTATTAGGGAGAGACTTCCACACCCTTATAAGGAATATTTCGTTCCCCTCTGCAACCGATGTGAGATCTCACAATCCACCCTCCTTGGAGGCCCTGTGTCCTCACTAGTACACTACCCAGTGTTTGGTTTCTGATACCATTTGTAACACCACAATCTCACCGTTAGTAGATATTGTTCGTTTTGACCTGTTACATATAATCATCAACCTTACGTTTTAAAACGTGCCTACTACGGAGAGGTATCCACACTCTTAATAAAAATATTTCGTTCTCCGTGAGTCACCTATCCAACCCAACCTAAACTTTCGGGTTGGTCCAAAAGTTTTCTCCAATCCAACTCAACCCGTGCACAACCCCAATTAAATCAAACGTTGAACTATCGAATGCATTGAAAAATATCGACCTAAAAATCGACACGTATCTAATTATTGATGCAAAATTAAATATAAACAAAATAAGGTTAAAAAAAAAAAAAAAAAGAGTTAAAATTTGCTTTATGTCCCAAAAAGTTAAAATTTGCCCAAGAAATTTGTGAAAGGTGAAGGAATCAAATAAAGGCAATGTGTAAGCTTTAGTCAGAATCAATCAAAGGATCATTTTGGATATACAAATAAAATACTTTCATTTTCTCCCACATTTTTTTTTCTTCAAATAATTGTTACTCAAATATGACGTCATTTTTACATCTAAATTCTAATGCAAATAGTAAAAAAATAATTATTTTTTCTAGCCTTTTTACCTTTATTTATAGAAGGGCAATATCGTCCAAACACATCCCGGATGGGACGGATGAGATGAAAAATATTTGATTAATGAAGAAAGAACTGGGGAGAGATTTTTCTCAGATAGCTAAATGGGGGCAGGGACGAGGACGAAAATTATATTCTCTATCCTCATTTTCGACCCTGATTCTTCCCCGGTTCCCGTCCTATGCTACTCCACTTTTATATATATATATATATATATAATATTTTTCTTACATTTTTTTAATATAAATTATATTAGAAAATGAAATTTGTCTTTTGAAAATTATTTAAAAGGTATATATTGGGAAAAAAAATCCAAGAAAGACGTGATTAATGCAAACTTCTACAGGGAGTCCCGCTCCAATTCCTGAACAGATAAATGAAAATTTTTGTAGGGACGGAGAATGAAATAGGAGGTAAAAACGAGGACGAGAAAAGCTATAACATGTATTGATTTTTTCAATTCATGAATATCGGAAGTAGGTAACGTAATTCTCATATTCACTTAGAAAAAGAAAAGGAGTTGAGGGGTCCTCTCGATGATAATGGGTTTTTATCCAAAGTTTGTGAAAGGTTATTTATGGCATCATTGCTCGATCCTTCGTGGTCGGATTAAAGGACCAATTTGACTTACCCACCTAATAAACGCTTTGTGGTAGCTATTCATGTGGCTCGAACCTTTTGATTACGAGAGTTCTTACCATTTTTTTTTTTTTTTTTTTTTTTGGTTTAATCTAGACTTTTAATCGGTTGGTTGAAGACATACGGACTAAACTAGTTAAGCTAAGCTCAAATTGGTAAAAACATGTCATTATCAAAAGAGTATACTTACATATCAGTTTTAGAGTATAAAACGGTAGGAGGTGGGGAGGAAACAAGGTCGAGATAGGGTTCGTATTTTGTAATTTAGACATCTCTTGAACCACATTGCATATCTGAATAATTCCTTACGACCGTAATATCCATACGGTACGTGAACGAACAGTAGATCCTATGTGAATCCACGACGTTAACCCTATTTAAACAAAGTTACGTTAGAAAATCTCTAATAAACCTCTTTCAAACCAATTTCACACCTGGACAAATTCTTCACTAAATCAAGCACATAAATAGACTAATGGTGCCTAAACGAGTCTAATTAAATCAAGCACATGAGGGTGAGAAATGAATCGAACCATGTTAGATCGAGTTGAGTTCATTATTTAATAAGAATTATTTGAGTTGAAAAAATTTACAATTGGATCTAAAAAATGTCTCGACCCTATCTAACTCAACCTCAAACACTCATAACAACTATGTGATATTGCTCGTCGTACACTAGGCACGGTTGAGGTGGAATCCATCTCGATCTCTCGTAAACATGTCTCCCCATTTCATATGCCAACCCGATTTACTTTTCTTTATTTGTTATTATTGTCGTTGTTATTACTCATAGATAATATTATTTTGTTTCTAAAATTGATCTTCAATTTTTTTTTTTTTTTTTTGGGGTAATTAATCATTTAAAGGAAAAAATTTCAATAGAAATTAGCTATATAATTATTTTTTAAAAGTGTTAATTTAAAAATCTTTAAAAGTTTCATCCAAGCCCAAGCCCAATCGTAAGCCCAATCTCAGGTTTATTCAAGGCCCAATAACTCAGCCCAGGTTTATCTAAGGCCCATTTGACGGGAGTATGAATTTGGAACGTCGATACAAAATTGTATAAAATCAACGGTAGAAGATTGATCCAAGTCAGAGATCTTCGTGAAACGATATAAAATGCGAGGATTAAGGGCGCCAAAATTTAGATAACAGTGGCTACTAGATTTTTCCACCGCGAAAAACTTCCCATTACCATCAGTTCTTCTGCATTTTCGGAGTCACCGATTCAGCGGCGGAGAAGAGGAAATGGCCGTTCGAAGATCGTCGAGTTCGAGGAAGAGAGTGGATGCTGCTCCCTCCGACGCCGCCACCACTGGTCCTTCCCTTGTGAGAGCCAAAGACGGCAGTGCTTTTGCTCGATGGTGCGTGTTTCTTTCCATTTTCTCTATGGATGTTATGGTTTGTACACCGACTGGTTGGAGAGCTAAAGAGGACGGAGTCACATTCCTGAATCTTTGTAACTTGTTTTCTTTATGCTTTGATTTCTACGTTGGTTGATCGGCGTCTGTGTTACACTTTCCTAACACTCCATTTCTTCGAATATTTTCGGAACAAGCTGTGTTTGGAGTGATTTTTGCTTTGGCATTGATAATGTATGCCTTTTTGCTTGCGTTTTAATCCGATTGTGTTTTAAAGTTGAATGAAATATTTGCTTTCGTTATGAATGTTCTTGTTGATGTACGATTATTTCTTACCTTTATAACTTGGCGTTATGAATCGGCGTCTGTGTTACGCTTTCCTAACGCTCCATTTCTTCGAATATTTTCGGAACAAGTTGTGTTTGGAGTGATTTTTGCTTTGGCATTGATAATGTATGCCTTTTTGCTTGCGTTTTAATCCGATTGTGTTTGGAGTGATTTTTGCTTTGGCATTGATAATGTATGCCTTTTTGCTTGCGTTTTAATCCGATTGTGTTTTAAAGTTGAATGAAATATTTATTGATAATGTATGCCTTTTTGCTTGCGTTTTAATCCGATTGTGTTTTAAAGTTGAATGAAATATTTGCTTTCGTTATGAATGTTCTTGTTGATGTACGATTATTTCTTACCTTTATAACTTGGCGTGTTTTTACTGCTTTTGTTTTTTGTTGGTTCCATTGGTGTGTTCGTACTGTACATTCCTAACGTTCCATTTCTTCGATTATTGTCGGAAGAGATTATGGTTTACGGTGTTTTCCTTTTGTTTGTTGTTCATTCAATAATAATGTGTGGTTTCCTGTTCGCATTTTTAGTTTGATTTTGATAGTTAATGAAAACATCATTAAGTTTCTTGACAATGGAAGAATCTGATTTCTCTGATTTGAATGGTTGATTTCTGGCTGTTACAGTGGTGAGTGCGGCAAAAGTGTTCCGGCCGCCCTAATCAGCATGCATAGCTGTAGCCTCGATACCAAAATTAGAATGAATTTAGGTAATATCCGTGTGGATTCGTGAATAATTTTTTTCTTTGGGATTCTTTTCTGATTTAGAACTCTTACTGTTCTCGTTTCCTGCAGAGGCTCAGACTGTCGAGAAGCAAACTCAAGCTAAAAAGCCAGCTGAAAGGTGTCTTATCCGTCGCTATGCTCCTATCTCTGCACGTTTTTCTTTATTCTTACCTGGTTGAGCTGATGTTTTGAGTTAAATTATTTACAGGAAAAGATCAGCACCATCGGAACCAAAAGCCACTAAATCCAAAACGGACAAGAGGAAGAAGAAAGACAAAGATCCAAATGCCCCCAAGCGCCCTCCTACAGCCTTCTTTATCTTCATGTATGCAAATTTCCCTCATTCCTTCTGCTCTCAATTGTCAGAATCATTAGATTTATAGTGTTATTTTCTATTTACTTGAATTTTAACTGAATTTCAAGTAATTGTAATACTTCAGGGAGGACTTCAGAAAGTCATTTAAAGAAGCAAATCCTGATTCTAAAGGCGTTAAAGAGGTTAGCACAGACCCATATCACTTTGTGTAGTAACGGTGAGAGGAGAGAGAAATGAGTGCCAATGAGGACACTGTCACGAAAGGGGTGGATTGTGAGTTCCAATGTTGGTTGGAGAGAAGAATGAAACCTTTTTTATAAGGGTGTGAAAACTTCTTCCTAGTAGACACGTTTTAAAAACTTTTAGGGGAAGGAAGCTCAAAGAGGATAATATCTGTTAGCAGTGGGCTTGGATTGATATAGTAATTATGACGACGGATCAAATTATTGTATGCTCCAGTAATTATGACGAGGGATCAAATTATTGTATGCTCTGTCTCATGATCGAGTATTTCAATCTTTTCAGGTTGCAAAGGAGGGTGGTGAGAAATGGAAATCAATGACTGATGAAGTGAGTTATATTACTTGCCATCTAAAAGCACGTCTATGTTTATGAATTGTGTCATCTAAAACTTAAGCTGATTGAACAGGAGAAGAAGCCTTACCAGGATAAAGCTGCCGAGCTGAAAGCAGAGTACGAAAAAGCCTTGGAAACCCGAAACACTGAGAACGAGGATGTGAGATTTGAGCTCTCAACTATCTGAATCTGTTTGGTTATTCATTCAAATGCTAATGTGGGATCTTTGTTCAGGATGAGAAAGACACAGAAGAGGTTACAGAGAAGGAGGCAGAGAAAGTAACAGATGAGTAAAACATTCCCAAGTTAGTCTTTTGTGATAGTAAATAGCTAGAAACAGCATCATCGCTTGGTTCCTTTTGTAAATTCTCTAATTTAGCCAAAAACCGCCGTTGGATTCTATGGTTGCGTCACAAGCAAATATAGTACCCATGCTTATTAGTCTAGACCCGCACACATCGGCTAGCCTCTTCTTAGCATACCCATTTTAAAACCGAGAGGAAAAGTTTGGGATGAAAACCAAAACATGATAATATGGGAGGCTTCGTATCTCGTGTCTGAACCGTTCTAACTAACCCAATGAGAATTGGAGTGCCTAATGGGGTTGGGCTTTTGTAAAACTTTTTGGCCTTTTCTGACAGTTTTATGGCCATATGCGTCCGCCATTTGTTTGAATGATATCATATTTTGGTGCATGTTCTTGGAATATGCGACTATGTCCACATTTCTCTTTCTATTATTGGACGTATACACCTTTGTCAGCATTATAATAATTTTTCTTTGAAGGCAAATATTTCATCCATTTATTACATACTATTTTTTAAATTAAAAAATGGGCATATTTTACATATTTCATCTCTCTCTTTTAAGCATATATGTATGAAGTTCAAAGACAATTTTGTTTGTTTTGTAAAAGAATTCAAGAACTTTTTGATGGAAAATGCACTTTTGTTTAAATACCAATACTTTGCACTAATAATTAAGAAAATTCAACATCAATTACCCAATTTGCAGCTTGCGTGGATAAAGAAGGAAGAGATTCTAAACAAGTTATGGAAAAATTGTAGTGATTTTTATATACACAGGCTTTGGAGAGTCAAAAACAGATATGGTATATTCTTCCGCTAATTATCCCACTCGATTGATAACTAATAAAAGAAAGAACTCAAACCATTTGAATTATATACGGTTGAGGATTGTTGCAAGTGAGTTACACCTTGGCTTGGGAAATTATCATGGGTTATAAGTAAATGAATACATCTATAAGGCCTTCTGGAGTAACCCAAAACAAATTCATGAAACTTATACTAAAAGTAGACAATATCATACCATCTTCTAAAACATGGGGTCAGAGTCATACTCTAAACTTAGCTATGACAATAGAATCAAAAGTGTCGAATAAACATGGGCTCGAAGATGTAGTCAAAAGTGACTAAAGTGTCGAATAAAGGGTGTACTTTGTTCGAGAGCTTGAGAGAAGGGAGTCGAGCCTCAATTAAGGGAAGGACAAAGAATTGTGAGCCTCGAAAATGTAGTCAAACGTGACTAAAGTGTCGAATAAAGGGTGTAATTTGTTCGAGGGCTCGAGAGAAGGGCGTCGAGCCTCAATTAAGGGAAGGTTGTCCGAGAGCTCCATAAGCCTTGGGGGCTACTTATAGTGTATTTTGTTCAAAGGGAGGATTGAATGATCATGAGTTTATAAGTAAAGGAATACATCTATGAGACCTTCTGGAAAAGCCCAAAACAAAATCATGAGAGCTTATACTCAAAGTGGACAATATAATACCATTGATGATTCCTAACCTATTACTAACATCGAATAATCATTTAGAAGAAGCAAATGGGCATATGATAATCATGCCACTTCAATTATGATGTCCTAATGAACTTCATTTATGATCAAACAACACCCAAGTTTTATTTATATCAACATGAGATGCAAGCAACACAGCCATGGAATGTTCTTCACAAAACTCTATTTATGAACACAATTGATATGACTAATTAATACCAAAACATAGTGAAGATTTAGTTTCTCTTACCTTACAAGCCCCAGGTTCAGGATTCCCCATGATGTGTTGGTCCATGTCCTCTCCTTGGCTTTCATCAACAGCACTCTTCCCCAAGCAATCCAGCCGTCCCATGGCATCCTCTTGTCCCAAGCGCTGCCCCATTCAAGCATCAGCCTCACCCCTTCCTCGGCCTCCTTTTCAGCCTCCTCAAACCGCCCTTTCCCCAAATACAGCTGCGCCAACGCCACATGCGGCTCGCCAACAAACGGATTCTTCTCCACACATCTCAACAGCAATTCCTCAGTTCTTTCAGATGTTTTGCAAATACCTTCCCAGTATGAATCCCTTGCTGTAATTTGATCCTCTGCGTCAAGAATTCTTGTGCAGTTACTGAAAATTGGGGGAATTACTAGGTCTAAATCCTCGTCTCTTTCTGTTTTGAGCCCCAATTCGCCGTTTCGCTTTCTCTGTGCGATGAAAATTGCTTCCTCTCTCGCAATTAAGGAGTAGATCGCTCCCATTCTTGATGAGGAGTTCATCCATAGTCCAGGCTTGCCGTTTCCAGGCCAGAGAGATGTGTAATTATTACCTGTGAATTCGAGGCGTCCGTTGGAGTTTTCGAACAACAAATCTTGAAATCCGAAGAGTTGATCGCTGAAATCGGCTATCGTCATCATGAGGAAAATCGCAACCACTCGCCTCGAAACCATCACGTCTTCTCCGGTTTTGATGTGCTTCACGGTTATGCCATCGGCTGGAAGAATCGACTGCAGTTTCTTTCTCCAGGTTTCATCGTCGTTGAAATGTCCGTTTTCCACGGCGTTCTTCAGCGATGCCTCGGAAACTTTGAGGTGATCGACGAGTTCCGAATCGGAGTAGCGGAAAAGAAGATCGTCGTGAATTAGATGCTGCCGAGGAACGATACAAAACAGATGAATCAATCTCTCCGCCGCCTCACCGACATGGCCACGAACAATATCGCGGCCGGTAGATGGATCGAAAATAGCAAGATTGACGTAGGAATTGGAATACGCAGAGTGGAAGAGGCCGCACAAACAAACCGGCTCTTGAGCTTTCCAGATTTTGAGAATTCGGTAGATATCAACGAGGTGATCGAGGAACGTGCCGTGCTTGTGCCAACACTCGCCGGCACCGACGGAACGGAGGACAGAGATGAGAGAGGGAAGGTTCGTGTTTACCTTTTCAAGTTCACCGCGAAGGAAAGGACGAACAGAGCATAACAGAGCATCAAGGTGGTTATTCTCCGGCCACGATGAATTGGAGGAAGACGACGGCATGCTGATTTGAATTGTGAAAGATTAATTTCCACCGGAGCTGAACCGGAGACGGCCGCAAGAAAAACTGAAGAAGAAGAACGAAGAGGCGTAGGAGCAATGATATTGGATATGGATTTGATGATTTTGTTTCTATAAGACCGATTTGGGTTTATGGCTTATGCTTTATATATATATATTATGAAAATATATATATATATTTTAAAAATTATTTTTTTCTTATCTTTTAAAATAAAAAACGTGTTCAAAAGAATATAATTTAAAAACTTGAGCTTACCAGAATTTATGTTTAATTAAACAAAATTGTTTATGATATATTTATTTTAATTTGATGAATTGAATTAAAGTAACCTAAGTTAATTTGAATCTAGCTATTATTTAAAAGTCAATGATTCGATTTCTATGATCCATATAATAATTGAACTAAAAAAAATCATATATTCCATGGGGTTGTCTTGAAAGCTGGTTGTAGGGACTGCCTTAAGGGTTTTGATTAATAAATTTTGATTGAATTAAACCGACAAAATTCAGGATAGATTTGATTATTTATTTTAGACTTTGAAAAGTTCGGCTTTTATGTTTACCATAATTTATTTTTTAAAAATATTTTTGGAGGTTGAATTGAAAATATATATTTATGTTAAAATAAAAAATGAAAATTGGACAAGTTTTATGGATAGTCATTTGTTCCTCCTACAAAGATTTACTCAATTTATCGAGTTGTTCCAAAGAATCAAAACGGTCATTTTTAATGGAATTTCTTGTCGGCTCTCGGTAAAATACTCATTTGGACGAGGGCTTCCAAAAATATTGTAAGCTAAATCCGTGCTGACGAATAACCAACCTGCAATGAATAGAGAAGGTATAGTAATGCTATGAATGACCTAGTATCGAATACTGGCGAATGAATAGAGAAGGTATACTAATGCTATTAATGACCTAGTATCGAATACTGGTGATAATATCAGCAAAAGAACATTCTCCTATGCTTCCAGACATGCCGAGCTCCACATATTCTTGTACAGTCAAAAGGGGATCGATTCCGTAAAAGATGAGATCGGTAAATAAAAATTAACTAAAATTTTATCTTTATAAGATCATCAATATTGTACTGAGGTTGTTTTCAGAGTATACCAACAGTATATAAAATTAAGAACATTATTACCATTTATTGCACCGGAGTTTTATTATTTTAACAAAAAAAATTTAGAATTTTAAAAACTTAAAAAATGCCCTCAAAATAATAGCGTGAAAATAACAATTTAGTCCCTTTAATTTAAATTAAATTTTTATACTTCTTATTTGGATAAAAAATAAAACAAAATAAAAATAATTATAAATCTAAATGAACGGTTTAAGTTTGATGCACTTACGAAAGTTTCGAAATTTCATCGACCGTAAGATGATCCTTCAATCTCTGAAGAGTCCAACTTAACTTTAGAGAGAGAGAGTAGAAGAACATGATAAGATTCAAATTCAATGGTATCTAAATAATTTGGTTGTCACGTAGGATACACAAACTTTATCCTCTCCTTCTTAGAAAACTAATATTTATACGACCTGAACCCAAAGTATTGAAGTCAATAAGTGTTTTTTAAAAGCCATTAAAGCCAATAAACAACTCTCACAACAAAATATTTACAATAAAAGAACTTCCTAGAAATGGTCTAAACAATATCAAACAAACCCATCTAAATCTTCTGTAAAACCTCGAGGAAAAGTCCAAAGAGGACAATGTCGTTACATCCTCTATCCCACTGAAGAGAAGAATCTGAATTGCCTGGTCCATATCTTGGCACTACAAAACCTTTTCTTTCTTTTTTTCGTGTTCTAACTATTGTAACGTGCGTGTCTGTGTGAGCTACCCATGGCAAATATAATGAGAATCGTGCGACTGTAATCTTTTTAAGGAAATATAGATTTCTCGAGACATTAATAAATTAGACATATATATACATACAAAAATATCTTCCCTATGGTGATGAGACGATATGCAAAATCTCGACCCATCAACTCGCTTTATGATTTCTTTTTCTTATCATCATGTTTGACAAGCTGAACAGGAGCTGCTGGAATTCTAATCCACCATTCCCTTCCCCGTCTAATCCATTTGTAACTGGTTTCCTTCCTGTATGGCATTTCCCTTGTATATGCCTCTACTAATGCTAGCATAATTATGTACTTAAATGGCATAAATGCAAAAACAAAAGCTGCAAAAACTAGCACTATAGCAACCATGTCTGTCTCCTGCAACAAAGATCAAGGGATTACAAGCTTATATACACAGGAAATATGATACTTGATGACTTGTGAAAAGTACAAAAACGCTGTAGGCTAAAGGCTAAATATTTCTTAAGCTTACATATAAAAGAAAAAAGAATCATAGAAAGAGTGATTATTGTATTATGATGGAGGATTTTGTTTTAGTACAATGAATGTGGGGGTGGGGATGGAAGCGTTCGGTGGTATGAACCAAGACATCTCAATCATGTAATATTAATGTCACATTAAGAAGAATCAAGCTTCATTTATGCAACAAAGGCTTCAAGATACTTCAAGTGCGGCTTTATTTATGCTTAGATGGTTACAAATTTATGATAGATGATAATTTATAGTTATGATGTTTCTTTAATGTATTTTAAGGATTATTTACATAGTAGCTAATTATGATCATAAAGTATACCTTGTGGCTAATTATGGTCATAAAATATAAAAGTTACCATTCTTGGAATGCCTCATGAAAGGTTAAGGGCTTTAAATTATGAGGCTATATAAAGCCATGTATATTGTCTTTGTAAAATAGACTCGAAAAATGTAGTAAAAGAAGCATTTGTGCTTTCTTTTACCGAATAGCTAAGTTTCTGTGCAATTCTATGTAGTTTAGGTTGTATGTATTCAAGCTTGACATGATCGAGTGATTCGAATCTCAAACAAGTGTTCTTGCCTTAAGATATTTGATCAACAAAGTAATCCAAATCTTCCTTCCCTTGTAGTGATTCCTTATCATTTGGTATCAGAGTTTTCCTTCGGTTGATTCCTTATCATTTGGTATCATAGCATATTTTTCTCTTCCTCTCAGTTATTTAGTTTTTTGGAGGACTTGGGTGAGGAATGAGATAATTTTTCAAGGGTTGGAAAGGTATTGGGAAGATATGTGTGCTCTGGCTGAGATATGTTTCCTTTGAAGCCTAGTTCTTTATAATTTTTCTTTTTTCAAAAGCACTACAGCTGTAGTTAAAAGATAAGGAGAAGCCGCCACCACACACAAACCACCAAAAGTTGAGTAGAAAAAAGGACTCCGAGAGAGAGAAAAACAAACAAATTTAGAAGCAAGACTCAAAGAGGAGTTGGGTTAAAATGTACAAGATTCAGATCATCCTCTGAAGTACTTTCTGGTGAAGAAGATAAAGGAAATAGTCAAATAATCAGATAATGACTTTACTTCAAGGAAATATTCATAATATGTACCTGTGGAAGTACTGCAAATAAGAGAGCTCTTATTTTTAGGAGAAAGATATTCCCGTCTTGGATCAATGCTTCAACTTGAGTGATGACTTCTTGCAAGGTCAGCAACTGTTCTACAGCATTTCGATTAGGGGGGGCCGTGATCCTGTAGGGTTCTAGTGGCTTGCTTTGGCCAAACTTCCGGCGGCAAGTCATGAGAACCGCAAGAGATACTAGAATGCAAGGCAAAAAAAACCTTATCCAATTCCTGCATTTCAACATGGAAAAAATTCGTTGATCTCAAGCTATTATTACCTCCCACTAAAACTTTGATATATGGAATGAAGTTGAGAGGTTAATTGCAAGTAAAATCAGAATGTAACAATAGCTAAAACGAGGGGAAAAAAATATTAACTAGCCATTCAATTCAAGCTTATCAATCATCATTTGTAAACATCTTATTCAGAAAAGGAATACCAACATTATCCAAAATCCTAATTGGTGCATTTTGCGAAAAGTATTTGGTAACGGCATACTATCTCTTTGTTTCAAGTCATTTGATCGGGGTTATAGCCACTGGTTCCAAGCTCCTGGACATTTTTCATTCGCTGAACAACATTAACCAACAAAATTTTCAATTCCTCTCCGAACTTAAATTTGGAGGTCTGAAAGAAGTGTTCAGGATCAATGCTATAATTGCAGAATCTTCAACTTGAATAAGGATCTTCTTTTAACCTTTGGGGATTGGGAGAAGCAATGGACTTCTTAAAGGGATTGAGATTGAGGAAGGAGGTGTGGCCTCTGGCCGAGTTTCATGCCTTTATTGGTGTGAGATCCCATATTGATTGGAGAGGATAACAAAGCATTCTTTATAAGGGTGTGGAAACCTCTCCCTATCAGGCGCGTTTTAAAAACCTTGAGGGAAAGTCCAAAGAGGACAATGTCTGGTAGCGGTGGACTTGGGCCGTTACGATTGGGGTGTTAGTTTCAAAGGAGAACAAAGCCTTTTTTATATAGTTAGTTTTGTCTGGCTCCTTCTGTTGGACCCTTTTTTGGATGTCCCTTCCCATTTTCATCATCGCCCTCAATAGAAGTGTAGTTTTCATAAAATTAAAAAAAGGATTAAAAGAAAGAGAACGAGAAGATCATGTCGTTGTGCTCCAACCAGATGTACCAAAGGAGACCACAAGCATGAACTCAAAGGCTAGAGGACTTTCTTCTGCCCTCTAAGGTTAAAACTGGAGATAAATTCAATAGGTTGTTGATCCTAGCAAATAGAAGCTGAAATTGGCGAGTATCTGGAAATTGTAACCATAGATTGATCAAGAAGTTACAAGAAAGGCATATCATGAAGTTACTTTGCAGAACCACGTAATGGTGAAGCTGCTCCATGTCCTTTAAATCACAGTTTTTTTAGGAAAGTTAGAGTTGATGGACCTAATTGGATACAATAAATGTCAAAATGAAATAAAAGACCCTTCTATCACTTCTCAAGCTCATCACTAATAAATTTTACTACCAAAAAGCATGAAGATTTATGATTATGCCCGAAAAACTATTAGCAATTCCATAATCACTCATGATCAAATGTGCTGAAATCCTATCCACGTAAAATGTTTTGACAGATTAAGAACTTAATCCAAACACAGCCTTCAAATAGGTAAAAGTAAAAAAGACCAGCATATTATAGCATGCATATAACTTACAAGCTTTGTTTTGGAACACAGTTATTTATGAATCAAGTAAGCGGCACACCAAGATATCAATGCTCTATTTCGACACAAACATGCAAAGCTCCAGAAAATGAGTAGTTACCATATAATAGCGTAGCAAAACAGCAGTAGAAAAAATGTTGATGTGAAAGTGTCTTCCCATGAGGCCAAAATTTGAATATTTCTAGCCAATACCAGAAATGGAAACAACAGTTCCTGGACAGACAGAGAGAAAGATTCAGATCCAAGATACACTCCCAAAGAATTCAATATTTTTCTTTGGTTAATCGTTCAAGCATGCAAAAAATTACCACCTACCCGGTATTAAATTTATCAATTTGGTTGACACAAACAGAGAAGTGGAGATTGAAATTCCCCATATTTCCTCCGGTATGTAAAATAAAAGAAAAGACACTGAAACGTGATAGTGATGATAACAGTTGTTGATCAAGAAGATATACAAGTCTACAAGTTAAATCAATTTTAAATTTTAACTCGATAGCTTGCGTATCTTCCAAGTATCTCATAGAAGGAAATTGTTTTCTCCAACAAACTTACCTTCATTACTGCAAGATTTGTATCAATACCCTCCACTTTCACTTTGTCAACAGTTGCTTGTGCAGCTTCAGCCCTGCCTGAATCTGATATTGATTGTCTCACTATAACGTCCAAGGGATTAGTCTCACAAACCCAAACATCTCCAACTAAGACTGCATCGCATTCATAACCTATCTCTTTCTGTAAGGTGAATCCAAGTTGACTTAATGATAGAAGAAAAATTGGAGACAATTGTCGTTGCTGCTTTGCAGGTGGATTCCCAGAAGCATCATGCTGAACACTATCTCTATTTATCAACATCAATCGACTCAAGAGAGTTTCCAAAATTAAATCTCTCCCAGGAAGACTTTCTGTCAGATTAAAAGTGAGTAATGTTCTGTATTGTGATGCAAAAACATGACAAGCATCTTTAACTGCATGAATTCTGAAAATGCCAAAAATTGCCCTTGCAAGTACTTCTGATTTCTGAGTTTCATTAAGATTGTTCTTCCTGATAAACTTATGTGCTCGCAGGACCTCAAGACAGATATCCAACCAATAATCCCGCCGAGAACTGCCTTTGAATTCAGGAAACTCCAAATAAACAGGTTCTATCCTGTAAAGGATCATTAAAGCGTTTAACCATAAAATAAACTAATAAAAATAACCTCAAAGGAAGGGAAAACAAAGATTAGAACCTAGGGACTAGAATATATAAAAGTATCTCATATCGATCAAGAGATATCATACACAGATGTTGACTTGTACATAACAGCTTTATCAAATAGACGAGCACCCAATGGTCCTGTAAGTTCAGGTTTTATTTGCTGTTTCATACCAGCTCCCAGATCATATCTAACAGCTTTGTCGTATATACCAACACCCAGTGACTCAAAGTAGAAGGCATGATTGGTCAGTGTCAACCTCCCTGCATGAATAGATAAACTAGATCAAACGCAGATGTGGAGGGAAAACACTTGATGAATATCTTCACCGCAGAGCAATCAAGTGAATACTATATCACACATGATATGAAACTCCCAACCAATTGGAACCAAGAACCCTTATGAATATGCAAACCCCTAAATCTCAAATGTTATGAAACTCCCGAGAATTCGATGTAACAACCTTATTGAAAAATAAGACTTTTAAATCTAAAATATTCAAGAACACCAAAACAATAAGAAATCACCTCAAGGGAAAGTAAGATTCAGGTTACCTTATTGATCAAATATCTCAAGACAAGAAAATTTATTTGAGATTCAAATCACTCCCCAAGCAAGATTGATCAACTCAAACTTGAATAATTCTAAGCTCGCAATCTAAATTATATAGAATTGCAAAGAAAATTTTCTTTTACTCCATTTTTCTAAGTCTATTTTACAAAGACAACATGGCTTTATATAGCCTCAAAATAAAACCCTTGATCTTCCATGATACATTTCAAGAGTGGTAGCATTCACACTTTATGACCATAATTAACCGGTATATAAATTTAATCTATATACTAATGAAACATGACTTCACTTAATGTGACTAGAGTTTATCTAGTGGTAATTTGAACAACATTTTTTTCACATCTTCCTCAAACTTCATATTACATGATTGAGATGCCTTGGTTCATATCGACACAACCCCCGTAAGTTTATTCTTTTGGACTCCTAACTTACTTTTGGACTCCTATTGTAGAAAATGTCCAAAAGCATTTCTCTAGGACAAGAATGGTTCCCCCGGGGGATTTCACTATGTCAATGGGACAAGAATGGATCTATGTCAATGAAGTTACATTGTGTGATGGCTCTTGTTGGTGATTTTCTGGTGTTTCTAGGCCAACTTTGAGTAGATTAGAGTAGTTCTAGTGTGAGTTCTGGGGAATTTAAAGTTTCTGGCCAGTTGAAGAGCTTAATTGTGACTCCTTGGTCTTCATACATCTTTTGCAACTTAAGAGCTTTATTGTGACTCCTTGGTAGTTCTAGTGTGAAGAGCTTTATTGGAACTCTCTAACCATTTCCTAAAAAGACAAACCAACCTCTCTTCTTTACAGTTACGAGAATCAGAATGCACTTCTTATTCCTTTATCAGAAAAGGTAGTTTTTTTTTTTTTTTTTTTTTTTTTTTTTTTTTTTTTTTTTTTTTTTTTTTT